CAGTTGCAACTCCAGTGGCGCCGCCCCCACACCTGCCGCAATCCCAGACCCATCAAGATCTGCACACATCCATTCTGAAAAACGTCACACAAGATCTAAAGCAGCAGCCCAGTGAACGYCAGCCACAGGCCACTGGGACATCGACCACCTCGAATAGCGTTAAACGACCCAGGCAAAAGCTGGCGCCCTTCAATGTGGACACCAATGCCATACCGGACATACGCTCGCGCTTTGCCGGCTCCTGGCCACCACCGCCGCCTATCCAGCCAACCGAGGAGCACGACGAAGAGGGCGAAGATTCGCCCGAAGCTGCGAATGGACATACGGCGCATTCAACGGCCCAAGCCCAGCGAGGGGTAAGTAGATCTTGTACTGCATATTCAAGTTGATCATAAATTCATAATTAATATGTCCTCTTCTATTTTCCGACAGAGCTCGCGACGCGTTGGTAACTATACTATTGTGGACCGCTGCTCCGATTGCGGTGCTGTCATCGAGGAGTACACGGACGAAGAGATTGGCATATTCATCGTAATCCTGGGCACCTTCATTCACCGAGAGCCAGCGATAGCAGCGCCATTCCTGCCCGAGGTGCTGACCATGACATCACGGTGAGTGTAGTCAATCGAAATAACTTTCCTTGCATTGTCATCCATTGCATTGTGATCCGTTGTAGAATCTGTCTGAGTGGCACCCACTCCTGGCAAGGCGAGAACGGGCTGCCCTTGGCGAGCAGCGCCCAGGCCGTGGCACTGCAATTCATCCGCTGCGTTCTGCATCAGCTGGCGCCCAATGGAATCTTTCTGCAGGTGTTCCAGACCCAAATGAAAAGTAAGTAGACAGCATATTCTAATGGACCACACATCTTTAGTATCCCGTTCGGTTTGCAGTCAAGATACGGCATAACCATTTCCGCAGCATTGCCAAAGCGTTGCAGGACTTCCAGGATCTAAATGCCACCAGTCCGATTTATATGGTCTGCGACTCTTTAACCTCGAAGAAGGCCCTGCCCATCGATCAGCTGCCCATCATCTTCCGAAACATGGCCGAGTATCTGCAGTGTGTGCCCGTCGAGGCAGGAGTCGGCCTGGCTGTTTGGTCGCAGGCCATGCAGGCCGTGGAGTCGTTGCTGCGTCAGGTGATTGTCATCATGCCCAGCCTCAGCAATGCCGAGTATATGCTGGATCTGATTGTGGCCACATTGCGCTTGAACTGCGTGCCCAAAACCCTGCTCGACCCGTATTCCAAGATTATGGCCTACTGTGTGCAGCACACCAATTTGGAATACCAAACTCTCTATGACCTGTGCACGCTGAGCACCCGCTCCTTCAACAAGGATCGCGACAAGAACCTACTCTGTCGACAAATGATCTTTGAGTTTGTGCAGGCGCTGAAGTTCAAGTCGAACATACCCGATCACAATCTGCTGATGATCATCGGCTTCGTACTACTCGATGCGGGCGGCACCTTACCACCAGGTGCCTTGCCCGGTCTACCAGACGCCGCGCCCGTGCTGACCACAAATGCAGCCGACTGCTTGAGGCAGTACATCAACGATGTTATCGATTTTCTGGCAGATTTCCATACGCTCAGCAAGATTAAGGTAGCTCTTTCCACATATCGCTATCACAATCGCTAATACCTTTTGCTCTAGCAGAATTTTAAGAACGGCCAGACAAGCAATGGCCTGGGCGAGGACACCCTGGGCGGCGTGCTTAAGGGCGCAGTGGCACAGTACCTGGCACTTGAGATGTCCAGGGGCAACTCCCGCGACAACAAGGCGGTCTCCCGCTATCTGCCGTGGCTAAACAATGCTCCGTCTTCATTGCAGCAGGGGTAAGTCATTATACATAATTTTACAGCATAATCGAATAACCGATTAAAACATTTGCAGTCCCAAGGAGTTTACGGAATGTGTGGGTCACATGCGGCTGCTCTCGTGGCTGTTGCTGGGCTCGCTTACGCACATGGCGTTGATGCAGCGCCGCCAGGAAACGCACACACTGCCTCCAGTTCTGCCGCCGAATGTGGCACCTGGACAGGGCCAGCCGCCGGCAGCTAGTGTTCATTACCAACATCAAGGAGTCACATACTCGCAGCCTGTGCCCCAGGAAGCATCCTGTCACATAGCCGATCACATTCAAGTGATCTTCGCGGGCTTCGCCGAGCAGTCCAAGACATCGGTGTTGCACATGTCCTCGCTGTTCCATGCGTTTACCCTCTGCCAATTGTGGACCGTTTATCTGGAGCAGATGGCTCACAACACCAACAGCAATGCCGAGGGCAGTACGCTCGGTGTACTCTTTGAATTTTGGACCAAGGTGACGCCAAGCATATTGCAGCTGGTGTCGCATGCCAAGCCGCCCAACAAGGAGCTGCACGCACAGGCCAGCGTTGACTTCCAAACCCAAAGCACCAACTCAAAGCTTTCGGAAATGGTTAACTTGCACTTTCTGAGCTTGCTGGAGGCCCTGAAGGAGACAAACTCTACGGTGCTGAGCAAGCTGCTGCCCATGTGGAGCACTGTGCTTTCGTCGCAAACACAACTATCGGACACGCTACATGTCCGGCTGCAGAACGTACGGGACTATGCGCCCGACTTTGAGGAGCAACAGACCCACAAATCAGAAGCGCTGCTCAAATGGTTGCAGCACTTGCAATTTAAAATGGGCCAAATAGAGCTTCAGGCCTCGACAGCCACACAGTTTTACTCCATTTGAACTTAAGGCCATACGAATAGCTATTTATTCAACATTAATGTTAGGAAATGTCATAGATACTATGTATATCCAATGCTGCGCTAGAAAACAGAAAAGTCGTTTCGTAGATATTACTTATTACACTTTACTCTTACACTTTACTTCGTACATATTACTTATTACACTTTACTCCGAATAAACTGTTTAAAACACATGATTACTTCAATTTACAAGCTTAATCTGCGCTATAGCTTATAATACAGTAGTTCAGTTGAACTGTTGATTGTTAATCATCTAACCTCACTTGTAAACTGAGTAACTTATGCCACCTGTGGCTTTCTCAGTTATTGTTGGATCAAGCACTTCGTTCTCTTCTCTAGCCTGTTGTCTGCCTTCTATAAGATAATGAGCCTGTGGATCACGATAGCTATTAAATGACGCTTTTGTCTTCAGCACTGCATCGTCGGGTAAACGTATGCCCTTCAGAGGCGCTTGCCTAGCCAGRCGTTCTTCAGCCTGTTGTATGYGTAGATTCTTTAAGGGATGCGTACGGTTATATATAAGYAATTATWTAAGCATTWATGCATTTACCTTGAYTTTCTGCATATAATCGATCTGCAGACTGGCAGATTCAGCCAACGGCACTAATTGAGTCTCCCTGTGCTGTATGAGTGGAGGCGTAGCAGCGGTAATCTCCCAATGTTTACCTTTCTTACGACTACGTTCCTTATCCGGATCATGAACATTTGATACTGTAGTGCGAAAAGGCAGAAACTTTTCACGGTCCTTTACAGCGTGCAGTTCAGTCTTATCTATGAGATACAGTGCATGYTGTTCCAACGTTGCATCAGTAGGCCGATTTCCGACTAGTTTGCTAACATCGATTTCTATAATTTCTGCTGGAATGATTTTGCTGTCATCTTGCCCGCTGCAACTACTAGACGCGCTCTCATTAGTCTGACTCGAATCCAATGAATCCGACGGTTGCTCTTGTCTAAATGATGCTATGTCAGCTACATCTTCAGGCGTGATAAGGGTGGCGGGCGGTGGCAGAACTTTTACTTGGCGCTGATGCATTGTACCCTGGGCAATAATTCGTAACGGATCTATATCTTGCTCGTCGTCGCTGTCAAGCAGGTCAGCTACGTCTGATTTTCCAGGAGAGGTTTTCCCATGCCATTCTAGATTATTTAGTGTTACTTTTCCTTTTGACGCGATGTTCAGCTCGCCGAGTAGATTAGCAGTTGCCTCGACATCATTTCGACGTTGAATCTCAGCAAGTAACTTTTCGTGGGACTCTTGTATTCGTCTTCCTTTATCTGGTAAACTCTCTAATCGTTTTCTAACACCAACAACACAACAAATTAATATTTCGCTCACAAATGAAACAACTTCAACGACTTACTTGGATGCCAAAATATTTGTTTGCCTGTCTCTCATTTCTAGCAGTTCATGGTATCTAAGAGTTTTGAGATCTTTGACATATTTCTCCTTTGTCTGCGACGTACCGGGAATTCGATTTAATGGTGGAGCATTCATTATTTGCTTTAATGCAATATAATTCCGTATTAATGTTCCCTCCAATTTGCTAACAACAACACGTGAGAGCGAGAAAGCTACTGTTGGCTTGCTGCTCGATTAACATCGATTTCGGAAAACTACCGAAACCCGACAACAAAATATCGAATGCAATATATCGAAATCAGTCAGCGCTGTTGAATAACTGAAATAAGTGAAAAGTATTTCTCAAATAGGATAAGTGTTTATTAATGTTTACAAACAATTTATAAAGTAATATTTCTTATATTTGAGTGCATTTTTTAAATATTTATTGTGGTAACAAAAAGTAAATCATTTTATAAGGACTTTACATTGAAGTAAAAATTTCAATAATTAGATTTGTTTTATTAAACTTTAAAGATTTTCTTACTATGAATCAAAGTAGTCTACGCAATTAATCACAAAAAAATATTTATATAGCAWACATAATATCTTACAAGCAATCAACTCAAAGAATTACCGAAAAATGCCGAACGAATTAATAAACCTCAAAGGGCCGTACGCATTGCATATGAGACGACGGTGTGTTGAGGAGCGAAAAAAAGAAAAGCTGCTCTATAAGGATAGACGAACTCTTGTTATTCGGCCAAAGCATACTATAATTGGATTGCTTAAGATAATTGGATTTTATTTGGCTCTATATATATGTATTGGAATTCTTTTAATTTGTAACATTCTAATTGTMTTCTACTTTCGCGTACCTAAAGACCGACCGTTAATACCAAAAGCTGCGAGCTTATCATCTGTTCCCGGAGTTTATGTGGGGGACAGGAAAATCATTAGATACAATTCAGATCAACAAAAAGAAACTGCACCATATATAGAACAATTGTATAAATTTACAAAGCCATATGGCCTCACTGGAAGTAACCACCTAAGAGAATGTAATTTAGATGATAACTGGGGATATAGTACGGGTCAGCCATGTATCATATTAAAACTGAATTATGCAGTTAATTTTAGGCCCGACACATATTGCAGCCCAATATCTTTGCCCGATAAGGCGCCAAATGACTTAATGACCCATTTGATGACATTGCCACTGGGAATGCGTTTTAATCGCATTTGGGTCGGCTGCTCGTTCTTGCGTAATAAAACCACAGCCGAATTGCGCTATGTGCCACGCAGATATTTTGATTCTGATTGTATGCTTCCGGAACAAACGACATTTCTTAAAAGCCCCTCTGAGAACTTGACAATGGAGAGAATCAATGACTTTCCAGAATATCGTCGTCTCGTTGGAATTCAAGTTTCTAATATTCCTTTGAATCAGGATGTTATTTTAAAATGTTCGGCATTTGCAAAAAATATACCACTTAAATTTGCATCGGTACTTCTTGTGATTCGTGTAGACGGTGTTGAAATCCCCCAAGAAGTCGATTCAGATTACGAAGATTTGGACAGTAATTATTAGTTTAATCGTGCTAATCAGAGATGCCATGATATATGTATTCTAAGTCTCAGTATACAGAAAATTTTCGATTCGGAATGATACAGAAAAAAAAATCCAAAACAAAATACGATAATCAGGGACTATTTTTTGTTTAGTTTTTAAAATCTAATATTTAAAGAAAAAATCACACTATGCCAGTGGATTTTGTAGTTCCCGCAGGGAACTACGAGGTTCGGAAACGGTTTCGACATTTGGAAACTCAGCGAAAAAAATATCAAATGCCCTGGTCTAAGAGTGTACTCGACTTGGAGCACCATAGACTTTTCGGACGGACCGCATGGGGATGGGCAAGAATCATTTACTTCTATCTATTGCTATACCTTTTTATTTTTTTGATCTTGGTTATTATGATTACAATTTTCTACTATAGCTTTTATAAAGGTAAACTTTCGCCTCAAATTCTAAAAGGGGCTCCTGGTATATCTAGATTTCCCAAGCCCGGTACCATTAGGTTCAACCCAAACATTCTAGAAGACCTATATTTCTATGCAGACCAGATAGATAATGTTCTATACAAATTCGATACATTCGGTCCACAAAAATTTGTTGAGTGTAATAAAGACAAATTATGGGGATATCAAGAAAAGTCTCCATGCGTAATTATCAAGATCAATAAAGTATATGGATTCACTGCCGAAACTTATGACGATGTCGAAAGCCTGCCGAAACATAAACCGGCCATATTGGAAGAGACCGTTAAAAAATACCCTGGTGGTAACAAGATCTGGTTGACATGCGAGGCGACCAAGAAAATGGATTTCCATTTTATTCCATATCCATATTTTGATGCATCAAACGATTTAACGTATCTCGATCGCGTTGTTGCCGTACAAATGAAGAATATACCACCCAATGAAGAGGTTCGTGTTACTTGTAAAGTTTGGGCAAAAAATATTGATATTGCTGAAAAACACTCTGGCCATGGTCATGTCAAGTTTTATCTGATTATGCATGTCAAGTAATCAAAAGAGATTTATTACGAATTTTACAAACATCCGATCTTCAAAAGTCAATGGTGCATGCATAGCAAGCTAGAGTATATACATATGTAAATAAAATTGAAATATCCACTAAATTATGATAACATTTCAATAAAAGATCTTTCTACCTAGAACATGGACTCATTTTAAAATTTACCCTTGTAGCTTTATATCTAATGCAGTTCCATAATAGTAATTGTAATTTAAGGAGATAAAGCCTTACTTTCTATATTATGCAATAGTTACTGTCAATATTAAAAAAAGAAAAAGAAAAAAAAAAAACAAAAAATATCTATTGCAACTGCAACAGTTTGAAACGTTTCACAAATTATTTAAGTACTATCGATAATTTTCTTTGGTATGAATAAATTAGTATAACCTATCCTTCATCTCTAATTCATTTGCCATCACTATTTGTCCATTTCATCATATGTGTCGAAAGCCTTAAGATATGGCCGGAGAGGATTTGATTATCAAGTTTCAGGAGCTCGGTATGAGCGAACAGAAAGCTAAGGAGACGCTTAAGAACGCCAATGTGACACGAAATTTGCAACTAGCCCTTGCTGAAACAAAAAAACCGCTGAGCGATGGTGTTGGCATGTTGCTCTACCACATGGCAACCAAACTGAAACCGCAAATAGCGGCACATTTGCCACTTTTGGTGCGGTACATTACGGAGCGCAAGCTGGACAACACGCAACGTGTTGACGCTGCACTGGAGTACTTGCTAAAATGTGGACAGAAGAAAAACGCAACTGTCGATGTGGCCGAACTTGATCGAGAATGCGGTGTTGGCGTTGTAGTCTCGCCTGAGGAGATCGAACGAGTTGTACAGAAGAAAGTTAAGGGCACCTACAAGGAAATATTACTGGAACAGCGCTATCACTTTAACTCATTTAAGATTATGCAGGAGGTCCGCAATGAATTGAAGTGGGCAGATGCAAAGTCCTTGAAAGCAGCCATCGATGTTGAGATATTCGATTTACTTGGCCCCAAAACTGAGGCTGATCTAATCCCATTGCCCAAGCAGAACGAAAAGCAACCTAAAGCCAAGGCAAATCAAACCACAACCAACGCCAAGACCGATGCCAAGGCATCCACATCGTCAGCATCTCCACCAGATAACGATGGTGCCAATACCATTGCAGAGCTAATGAAGACTAAGGTGCATTTCCATGCACCAGGGGAGAACTTTAAGACCGATGGTTATGTGGTCACCGAGCATACGGAGCAGCTACTGCGCGATCATTTGAAGCGCACAGGTGGTAGGGTTCAAACACGTTTCCCACCTGAACCAAATGGCATTCTGCATATTGGCCATGCCAAGGCCATCAACATCAATTTTGGCTACGCAGCTGCCCACAACGGCGTCTGCTATCTGCGATACGACGACACCAACCCCGAGAAAGAGGAGGAGAAGTTTTTTGTTGGGATTCGCGACATGGTTGAGTGGCTCGGCTACACACCATACAAGATAACATACTCATCGGACAACTTTCAGCAGCTATATGAATGGGCAGTTGTACTGATAAATAAGAACTTGGCCTATGTGTGTCACCAGAAAGCGGAGGAGCTAAAAGGTTTCAATCCGCCCCCGAGTCCCTGGCGCGAGCGACCTATTGAAGAATCGCTGCAACTGTTTGAGGACATGAAGCGTGGCAAAATTGATGAGGGTGCTGCCACACTGCGCCTCAAGCTAACGCTTGAGGAAGGTAAACAAGATCCCGTTGCGTATCGAATCAAGTTTATCCCTCATCATCGCACTGGATCTAACTGGTGCATTTATCCGACCTACGAYTACACGCACTGCCTSTGCGATTCGATCGAGGATATCACCCATTCCCTCTGCACCAAGGAGTTTCAGTCGCGTCGATCCTCTTACTATTGGCTCTGCAATGCTCTCAACATCTACTGTCCCGTCCAGTGGGAATATGGACGCCTGAACATGAACTATGCTCTCGTATCTAAGAGAAAAATCGCCAAACTCATTACCGAAGGTATTGTGAACGATTGGGATGATCCACGTCTATTTACATTGACGGCTTTGCGGCGACGTGGCTACCCCGCGGAGGCCATAAATAATTTCTGCGCCCAAATGGGCGTGACGGGTGCACAAATATCTGTGGATCCCTCCATGCTTGAAGCCGCCGTCAGGGATGTACTTAACTTGACCGCGCCACGACGACTGATCGTTTTACAACCACTGAAAGTAACCATCAGCAACTACCCCCACGCGGGGCCAATGGAATTAGAAGTTCCTAACTTCCCGCAGAATCCAGCACTTGGTTCGCACAAGATTACCCTGGATCGTGTTATCTACATTGAGCGCAGCGACTTTAAATTGGAGCCAGAAAAGGGCTATCGACGCTTGTCCCCACAGCAATCTGTTGGTTTACGCCATGCAGGTTTGGTTATCAGCATACAAGAAATTATCCGTGATCCTGCCACGGGCGAAGTTATGGAGCTCGTTTGCAAAAGCGAATCTGCCGAACAGGCCGAGAAGCCGAAGGCATTTGTACAATGGGTTTCCCAGCCGATTGAGCTGGAGGTRCGCTTATATGAGCAGCTGTTCAAGCACAAGAATCCCGAGGATACAAATGAAGTGCCTGGCGGATTTCTCAGCGATATTAACGACAACTCCATGGCCGTCCTCAACGCGTACTCTGATAAGTCGCTTAGCGATGTAAAGGTGTATGATAAGTTCCAATTTGAACGCATTGGTTTCTTCTCAGTGGATCCGGACACATCTGGCAACCGTATTGTGTTCAATCGCACCGTAGGACTCAAAGAGGATTCGGGCAAGAAGTAAACTTGATTTTTTGTTTTTATAAAAAAAAGAAATATGCTCACAATAAATAAGATTTGTAAAATCACTATTTCTTTCCCTCGACCATGATTATGTGATAGCCAAATTTCGTCTTTATCGGTGGATCTGTGTAAACGGGACTGTTGACCGTGGATATCGGCAGAGCGAAAGCTGCGTCCTGGAAGGGGCCAACCATTGCTCCGCGTATTTGCCAGCCTAAGTCGCCACCCTGGCGTGCTTTGTCTTCACTGTARGCTGCTGCCACTTCAGGAAATTTCTGACCAGCTTTTAACTTTTCCATTGCCTCCATAATCTTGCCCTGCTTCTCACAGAGAATGTGTCGCACCTTCACCGCATTGCCGCCTTTCTTTTCTTTGCCGGCACCTGCAAATGATTTAACTAAATATGGATCGATCATCACTAGCGCATCCAATGTATACCTTTATCCTCCGCAGCTGGTTTCTTGCCACCTTTTGCGTTATCCTTTCCACCTTTCGTATCCTTTTTAGGTGGCATTTTAGATTTATCACCCACTCACAACTGATTTTACACTTGCCACCGTGTTGTCAAGCGCATGTGTTGCCACTTTTCAGATGGTTGAATATAATTTCTGTGATAGGGTCACTCGAAAATTNGGATCCGGACACATCTGGCAACCGTATTGTGTTCAATCGCACCGTAGGACTCAAAGAGGATTCGGGCAAGAAGTAAACTTGATTTTTTGTTTTTATAAAAAAAAGAAATATGCTCACAATAAATAAGATTTGTAAAATCACTATTTCTTTCCCTCGACCATGATTATGTGATAGCCAAATTTCGTCTTTATCGGTGGATCTGTGTAAACGGGACTGTTGACCGTGGATATCGGCAGAGCGAAAGCTGCGTCCTGGAAGGGGCCAACCATTGCTCCGCGTATTTGCCAGCCTAAGTCGCCACCCTGGCGTGCTTTGTCTTCACTGTAAGCTGCTGCCACTTCAGGAAATTTCTGACCAGCTTTTAACTTTTCCATTGCCTCCATAATCTTGCCCTGCTTCTCACAGAGAATGTGTCGCACCTTCACCGCATTGCCGCCTTTCTTTTCTTTGCCGGCACCTGCAAATCATTTAACTGAATATGGATCGATCATCACTAGCGCATCCAATGTATACCTTTATCCTCAGCAGCTGGTTTCTTGCCACCTTTTGCGTTATCCTTTCCACCTTTCGTATCCTTTTTAGGTGGCATTTTAGATTTATCACCCACTCACAACTGATTTTACACTTGCCACTGTGTTGTCAAGCGCATGTGTTGCCACTTTTCAGATGGTTGAATATAATTTCTGTGATAGGGTCACTCGAAAATTCAAATATATCGCAAGAACTATCGATAAATAGCTATAATATCAACATCTCTAAATTGTCTCACTCCTTTTCACTTTAGCGAGGCAAAATTTGTCACATTTCTTTGGCAAAATTGTAAGTTTTGTCAAATAATTTGAAGTGAAAATTGAATATAATATGATCTAATAACTTTTAATTTGTAGTGCAGTTTGTGATAAATCAATTAAATATCATCAAGCACGTCGAGAGCGTAGCGCAACACCCCAGACAAGAGACACTAGTTAAACCAGCAACGCTGCAAAATGCCCAAGAATAAAGGAAAAGGTGGCAAAAATCGTCGTCGTGGAAAGAACGAAAACGAGTTCGAAAAACGTGAGTTGATCTTTAAAGAGGATCAACAGGAATACGCACAGGTGACCAAAATGCTGGGCAATGGTCGCYTGGAGGCAATGTGCTTTGATGGCGTCAAACGTCTGTGTCATATTCGGGGGAAACTTCGTAAGAAGGTAAGTGTGTGTGTGTGGGTGTTTGAATGTATGCGTGCTGCTTTTGATGCATGAAC